GTTATTTTGTTATCGTTTTTATCGTTAACTCGGTTTTCCTTGGTCTTTTCACGTGTGTTATGAATAAATCATCTTTTTTTCGGTACCGGTACTAGTTTTATTTTGTTGTATTTATCCACGACATCTTAAAGACCGGTCCGTGAAAATATTGTCGGGCATAAACCGGTCCGTGGCACAAAAAAGGTTGGAGACCGCTGACCTAAACACACTCAGCAGGGTGAAGAAGTGACAGAGCATAAACTTACACAGCATTTTGCCTTTATATTTTTATGTTTTGTTTTGGTTTTCCTCCTGGATATTATGGGTGTTTTTTTTTATCACAATCCACATAACAAAGACTGCCCTCCCCTTTTTAATGCTTATCTTCAATATTCCGACACAGCAGACCGAGTTTCATAAAGTAAACACACACATGAGTTTTGAGTCATGACTGTGCGCCCAGTTAGACTTTTGTCTGGTGTTGATAGTCTGATATGTCAACAGAGACAGTGTTGACATTCAGGTCGAGCTGGTATAAATCAGCCCCAACAACATAATAAGCACTTTTACTGCCTCTGATCACATCTTATTGAGTTTTTCTGTCTTAGCACAGAATCAAGCCTTTGGTTGTGCAATAGCTTAACTATATATCACTTTGTACTAACCTGCAACTTGATTTTAATTTTAAACCTGCTTTAGGGCAGCATGGTGGTTTCCACTGCTGCCGACAACAAGAGGGTTTGAATCCAATAGTCAACTGAGGCCTTTTTGTATGGAGATTGTATGTTCTCCCTGTGGTTATGCAAGTTCTCTCCAGGTACTTTAGCTAAAGTGGCAATTCTAGATTGGCTTTAAGGGTGAATGTTTTCTTTGTTCCCATGTAATAGACCAGCAGCCTCTCCAGGATATACCCTGTCTTTCACCGTATCACAGCTGGGATAGCCTCTACACCCTTCCATTTGTGCTTCATTGTCACCTAATGAATTGGTTGCAGTGGAAGTTCATACATTTGTGGTCACCAGAGGTGCAATATTATTGTTCATCCGCATCTTTTACACTTGATTTTGATTTAGTACTTGTTGTTCTTACTTTGTTTTGCCAAGCTACAAAGGTGTGGATATACCACACATTGTTCCTGCTAATGAACAAGCAGATCACGTGCCCTTGGAACACAGTGTACTGTGGGTTGCACCAGCCACGCTGTCAAAAAGTTTCCATTAACTCTTTTCTTTCTGTGGCTTCTGCTGCCAATCCTGTTGCTACTGATGACGATGACCCTTGAGCTTTATTTGGGAGTTTACAGCGTCATCAGGTTGTTCTGTTCTCAGTCAGTCGACCTAAAAGCAGCAAGTAATCCACTCATCGAAACTGGGGTGCAACACACCAAGACCTTGATTGGCCGCAGTCACGTGAGGTGGGCGTTTTGAACTACATTTCAAAGCAGTGTTTTGAAACACCGCCCCCTTATAAGCTTGATACAACATCCAAATATCAATATCAAGATTTCTATCCCTACTTGTTACTCTCGATGGATAGTTTTTTTTCATTGGTTTTGTTAGGATGATAGAGAAAGTTTGATTGGAGGAAATTCTCCTGTTTATCCTGGAGTTACAGGGAGTTGAGGTGTAGGTGTATCTTCTATTATTCTTTTATTTAAATTGTTTAGCCGGTGAGTTTTTTTCTTAATAAGTGAGGCTTGGCATTTATTCGTTCTTTAAAACAATCTGGCAATAAACAATTTCAAACTCACCCAAAACAGTCTCTCCAAGTTATTCGCTTTAACCCTAGACCAACTTAGGATGTGATATTAGTACCAGGATCCCCGAGCCCTAATCCAGGATTAGTTGGGTTGGAACCTATTTAAGCTATCATGAGACACGAGACAGGGTACACCCTGGATAGGCAACCAAATTAAAGCTTAAAATATTTTTAAATTGTTTACTTGGAAAGCTATTTTATGTTAGTCGAAGGTATGTATTTGTGTATTTAAGTGTGGTATTGTATGAGTAAGTGTATGTCGGCTGGAATGAAGCAAAGCGAGCATATCAGCATTCTCAGAACTCAGGTTCGGCCTGTGCTTTGTCACAAGAGCATGCAGAAAACAGATGTTAAGATGGTGTACATTTCAATTATTAATGTTAGTAATAACTCGGTGTCCACCCCAAAGGCCCCAGTATACCCACTGCTTCTCTCTTTCCACTCTTACATCTTTCTCCATCTCTGAGAATAAAAATGTCAGTTGAAAATATAGCAAATGTGTCTTTAGCTTGCAGACACATTTGATAAAATGGAAATTTAAAGCTCACATGTAAAGTTGTAGTTATTACATAAGGCTTTAAAAAAAACAACTATAATTTTCATATAATTAAATTAAACCCTTTAGAGCTTTTGCTTTTTAAAAAGAAAAATTGTCTGTTAATACTATTGTGTGTGTTTATGTAGTATTGATTCAGATAATAGATAGTAGATATTAGATAATATTGTGGGCTTTGTGGTAAAACAAATATTCAGTTCATACTGGTGTAATAGCACTAGATAAGAAAAACTAGCTGATAAATCTTGTGTGCCAAATTGCGTTGGAGTTTTTCTTTTCTTTTGTGGGTTTAACAGGACATTTTACATTTGATTGAAAACAAAAGTGTCTTGAGAGCAACTTCGATCTTTTAGCTTTCATCCCTTCCAAAAAAGCACCTCA